ACAAGTGCCTCAGTGAGCCGCAGTGCGCCTGTGTCCCCTCGTGGAGCGCAAGCGCCAGTGATTTTTAAAAGGTAAACACATGGCTGACAAGTGCCTCAGACATGGGCGTGCGTCCCAAAACTCGTACCCCAATCCCGCTGCTGGCGCCGGCGTACGACGAGGGCATATGCCCCGTATCGCGAGGAGCGCTGGGAGATGCGCACGAGGCCGCTGGGTTGCCAGGTGTCGACCATCACGGGGCTTACGGGCGTCATCTCCATCGCGTCGACGCTCGTCTTCCTCCTGCTGGCCGTGGCTACAGTGTTCGCGTGCCGCCGTGCATGGCGCTGGGGTAAGGCTGGACGTCACAGGTGGAATAGGTTTAGATCGAGTCGCAGCGGCGAGGCCGAGCCGCTGCTTCCCGACGAGGGCAGGTTGGGGGCAACAGAGGGCGGGATTGCGGTGGCATCCAGTGGATAGTGGCACTCGAGGTCGACTTGCGGATCCTGTGCATTTCGACCTCATCCCGAGCTGACCGGCGGGATGATGGCCACCTCATCACCCTCCTTAATCATGGCACCATCCTCTCCGGGTTTAGGTAAATCTACGTAATCAAGGTTGATTGTGACCAGGCACGAATCAAGAATCTTGGACTTGATCCCACTGTACCTCTCCTCGAGGGTATCAAAGAGGCGACCGAGAGGAAGAGGGGCGGGAAGAGCCTCCTGGTCCTTCGCGGTGTAGGAGCTTGCACCTGCGAAGTACAGGATGCTGAAGTGGCCGGTGGGCGGCCGACCTGTGGAGTTCATGGTTGTGGTATTTGTGCTGGTAGCCTAGTAATGCAGGATTAGCACGCTGCTTTACGATTGACAATGCAGAAAGAAAAAATAGCGGGCGAGAGACTGGATCAGAGATCTTGGTGATAAATTTGGTTCATCAAAGGATTCAGGTAATACATGCTTTTGATGTTCATCATACCAGAGGGGGATGTGTGAGGAAGAAATGGAGGCAATGCTTACCGGCTGGTGTTAAACACAAACGTGCTAGTGCTCAGGGTGTTTTCCCCAGAATCCTGATTGTTGTTGGTGAGGAAAAGAGACGAAAAAGTGTTTGCGAGC